ACGATGCGCGGCACACGAGCAGCGGCGGTTGTGGTCGTGTGACTGTAGGCAGGGGGCAGCGTGCGTCGTCGCTCGGCGTTGGTCGTGGGTGAAGGAGATGGCGGCGGGCATGAGGTGTGCTCGGCCGAAAGAGAAGAAGAAACAGGGGAGAAGAAAGAAAGAAAAGAAAAAAAAAAGAAGAAAGAAAGGAAACAAAGAAAAAGAAAAGGAAAGAAAGGAAAAGAAAAAGAAAATAGTATTTGTGTTTTTTTTTTCTTTTTTTCTCTCTTTTTTTTTTTTTGCCTTTTCATTTTTTTTTCATTTTAGAAATTTTTTTTTTGTTTTTACGGAAAGACTCCCTTTTTTTTTTCTCCTTGTTACTTACTTGAAAATTTTGTTTTTTGAAAATTTTTTTTTGAATATATCATTTTTTTATTATTATTGACAAAATTTATTTTTGGACTTCAAAAGTAGGGATTAACAGAAAATCAATAATCATTCTTGAGTTTTTTTGAATACTTACCTTTCCTGCGAACATGACGCGGGCATGTCATGAAGGCACGGAATCTGGAGCTTTCCAGGTTATTTGACGCGGGCACGTCAACAGGGTAAGAACCCTTTTTGACGAATTTGACCGTGAGCTCTTCATACATCATGACGCGGGCACGTCATGAGGGCAAGAACCCCTTCTGACGATTCTGACCGTGAGCTCTTCATACGTCATGGGATGCCTGTGAATCATCAAAAATGAAAATTAAAGCCAAAAATCAGTCAAATCCAAGGAAAAATATATTTAAACTAGCGAACAAAAAAAAAAGAACAAATAACTAAAAGAAATTGGGTTGCCTCCTAATGAGCGCCCTTCTCTAATGTCTTTGGCTAGACATTATCATGTTTTGTTCATGGAGGATAAAATCTTGTGGTTCGTTTTAATGTTTCATCCTCTATATAGTCCTGATAGCCCTCGTAAATAGAATAATCCTTGAGCACACGAGTTACGGTTTTCCTTGGACTAGTAAATGGTGCCAAACAAGTCAACGATAATTTGCATTCTCCACTTATTTCTCCATCACACGCATTTATCGGTTCAAGATATTTTGCCATCTCCACTATTAATTTATTCCTGTCATGAAATTTTAAATTCTCTGGTATAATAAAATCAATTTCAGTAACAGAAGTCGAAGAGTAGGAGTCAGGAAAATATTGATTAAGGGATGGAGAAGATATCACCGCATTTGGAGATTATACACTGGATTTATTCACTTGGACGAATTGATATTGGGGTCTCATTTCTTGCACTTCACTTTCCTTTTCAACTGCATCTTTAGATCTGTTTCTTTGAAACTCTTGCAGTTCCAGGTCATTTGGCCGGATAATTGCACTCTCATCTTCTTCAAGGTTGATATTGGTTTGCGAGGGCAATTCTTCAAGGTGAGAAGCTAATCGCGCTATCCTGGATGTCAATTGATTCATTTGATCCGCCATCGCTTGTAACTCCTGTTGAGATCGATATGAATTAGCAATTAGTAATTCCATCATTTCTTCAAGAGACATACCTGACACGGAGGATGATTGCTGAGACTCTTGCTGTTGAAAATCCATTGGTCTGGTTGCATAATTAAAATTGGAATTATCCCACCATCCTTGATCATACCTGTTTGGGTAAGGGTCATACCACGTTTGAAATCGAGGTGAAAAATCTCCAAAAATATCAATTGGAGCACTTAGATTATCTTGAAATGCGGGGCATGTGTCGGTTGAATAACCTGAGTCAAAATAAGTTCCACAATTTGCAACAGCCCATTGATCATTAGGAAAAACATAAGTCTCATAACCCCATTCAAGAATAAAATCCAGTTTATCATCAAAATACGGAATGTTAGCAGCCATAAACTATATAAAAAAATAAGAGAAAAATAAATTAAAAATGAAAACAAGGTGAACTAAAAAAGAAACAAATTAATCTGGCACCAGTCCCCGGCAACGGCGCCAAAAATTGACAGGTTGTCAGCCTGTGCAATAAAAAAAACCTGCTCAACTAAAGTTAATTTCTGTAGATAGTGGTAAGCAGGGTCGAATCCACGGGAACTGGGTGTAATTGTTTCTTTTCGAATCCACAATAACCAGGGGGTATTTTTGTGTAGAAAGTGACAATCAAATAAATGCAAATAAAACCTAAGAAACTATTAAAAATTAAATAACAAGTTACTAAAACCAAATGAATGATAACTAAGGTTCTAGCCAAGAAATAACTTCAGCAATGGTGCACCTAATTGATCATTGAAGCAAAGGCAATTCCAATTATTTATCAATAAATAGGTTATAACTACTAAACAAGCAATGGCAGTCAACCCCTCATTACTGTGTCGGTGATCAAGGTACGCCCGTTAATCACTATTTTAATTGAGAAATAATTTTAGGTACGCCCGTAGAATTTAATTCCCCAATTGCCTTACGTATTAGAGGAGCCCTATTCTAACCAAATAACGCACTACCAGGGTTATTTTAGATTAGCCCGCGTATTCCCCTGACACAAAGCTAATCATGCCAGTTGTCACTATTTTAGAGCAATTAAACAATTACGGATTTAATGCCCTAATTGACAATAGATTATCCAATCAACTAATTATCTGGATCCAAGACAATCAATTAGATTAGCACTACCAGGGTTATTTTAGATAACGCACTACCAGGGTTATTTTAGATTAGCCCGCGTATTCCCCTGACACAAATCTAATCATGCCAGTTGTCACTATTTTTGAGCAATTAAACAATTACGGATTTAATGCCCTAATTGACAATAGATTATCCAATCAACTAATTATCTGGATCCAAGACAATCAATTAATTAAATAATCACAAGCACTGCAAATAAGGAATATGCGAATACTAATAAATAAAAGAAAAAGATAAAATTAAATCGATCTCACAATTTTAGGCGACCCAAAACCTTCGTTGTTCCTTGACTAGAAAAGAAAATTTAGTTCATCCCTGATGCGAAAAACCCATAGGAAATCGAAGCAACAGTAGCGGCCATCGATTCCGAAATTGGGAAAATTCAATTCACTTCGGCAATGAAGGAAAAGTCAAGATTACAAAGAATGCCCAATTGCTTTTCTTTGCCTTCACATCCGATGGAAGCAACAGCATAATAAGACGAAAAGAGGAAAAGTCAAAACTAAAAACTAAGCTAAAAATGGTGCTAGTCCTCTGCACACTTTTTCTATCTAAAGTCTACTGCTATTTCCTATTCTCCTTGACTCTAATCTGTCCGGCGGCTCCCCTTGCGGAGAGGACAAAGCCTCTGGACGCCCCCCCCCCCCCCCCCCCCCCCCCCCGGTTTGCCTTCTTTTCCCTGTTTTAGCTGCTGTCTTCGGTCAAAATTACCAAAATGGTTTTGCATCTCCTTCTTCCAAGAATGCCCTTGATTGCCTGCTATTTGAACTCTTTCCCATGACTATCAAATTGGCCTTGATTGTGATATTTTTGTTCTACTCCCTGAAATAAATGTAAATTACGAAAAGTGAGTAGAATCTAATAATTAATTCAAATCAGGTCTGGTAATAGGGAAAATTAATAATAAAATAAATAATAAAATTGTAACCTATCATTAGTGGTATTATTTTTTTATGGAAATGACTAAAGGACTTAGCTGCAGGAAAACACTGCAACGGAATTCTAAGAATAAAATGGAAGCGAAAATTTTCCACTATTAAATGCAATTTCAGAGCGGAGGGGGCGATACGGTGCAATTGTGGTCTCAATCATTTGGAATTCTTATTTGGGCTGTCAATTCTCTTATTTGGGCTGAATTTGTTAAGCCCAATCTTGGGCTAAATTTGTTAAACAATATGTTGATGCCAGAGTAGGGGGGCTTGGCCTAGATTTAAATACATCACCTTTCTCATTTTTGATAGTAATACTTCACCAAAGATATAGTATATTAATTGCAAAATCAAATTTCAACTAAATCATAATTAGTATCACAAACATCAACTTAGATAATAATTTTTTAAATAATGAGTAGCATATAACACAATAGTGATATATTGACAAATGTACAGATGTGGTCTCTTATCAACTAAACATGTAAGTATATCATTTGTACGCGGAGTTTAGTATTGTCCAAACTCGACACTTGATGAATCCAAATCTAACCCGATTCCTTAATTTCTTGGGCCAAGCAGGTTAAGTTCCACCCAATCCCACCATTTTGACAATCTAACTTGATTTTTTTAGTGAATAAAAAATTTTGATATGAAGAAATGGCATATGACGTCCTTATCAGCATGATTTGATTTTTAACTTTTTATTTGTAGATGACGAGAATTTATCTGTAAGGGAGTATTGTCACCAAAAGATACAACATATGAAATGATATGATCCACAAAATATGACAAATGCATAGAACTGCTTGATGATTTCAATATAATTCACAAACTTAAGAACATGTTCTTGATTTGTAATTGAGGAAACTTAAGAACTTGAAAAGGAAAAGGAATCTCCTTCAACATTTTATTCTGCAACTGCATATTTAAGATTAAGAAGGTCGATATTCATGCGCTAATAAAAGAAAGGAAGTGTTTTGATGAATTCAATAAAGACTAGAAAAGAATTACAGCCCCGTAACCATTCATGAAGCATAATGAGTGATCATATGACATTTCTACTTGACCTCATCTAGCTGAGATTTCTCCAAGCCCTGCCAATAGAACCCAAATACAAGATTATTGCCCAACCAGACAACTAACTAGAAGCTTGGAGAGTTGGGAAACCTACAAATTTCAGAAAGAACATGCACCTTTAAGATGTCCTTGAACTCTGGGAACTCATGTACTGAAGCTTGATCTTTTTCAGCACAACAAGAACATCTTGTATGTTGCTACACAAATGTGGTCATCAGCGGATGTCCATCTCTGTGCTTGGATTCACAAAATAATCAAACAGCTACTTCTTCATCTTGCTCTGGAAATGGATGCTGGCAGACCACTATAGCAAAAGAATTCAATTATTTCTCAACTATGGTGCTTACCATGAATACTGCAGATAGATCTTGGAAATCTGCTGTTTGCAGCCTCTCCATGATTGTTAAAAGGGATTTCAATGATTTTGGTAGGTTTAACATTTCCAGGTGCGATGACGATTACAGTGTTCCAATTGTACTTGACTGGGGAATTGGAAATATCAGTTGCCATGACGCGGTGAAAAGGGGACATCATGTATGCGGCCAGAATAGTAAGTGCATCAATTCGACCAGAGGAGTTGGATAACTGTGTACTTGCTTGCGAGGTTACCAAGGAAATCCTTATCTGCCTAATGGATGCAAAGGTACGTAATGGATTTCTTCTTTCTCCATTTTTGTTTTGGAGTAATTTGGAAGGAGAGAGAATGTGAAGGAAGAGTAAGTTCAGATAGGAAAAAAACATGATTTGCTAAGGTAGTCATGGCTCACATTCGAATTTTGCTAAGGTAATCTTACTAACATGATTTGTTGTAATCTTAACAGGAAGCCGAAAGTACGCAATTACTCTCGTCTATCCATTTTCTTTTTCTTCTTGCTAGCAACAGAAGATTTATTTTTCTTTTTTAGGTAGTTTGTAACAAGGTCATAGTTCTATAGCTAGCGTATCAAAAATTTTATGCAAATCAGGCAGATTTTGTATTTAGGGAGAACATAAGGTGAGAAAACAAATAACTGTCCCTAGACATTACCACCAACAATGTGTGAAGTTCTTTCTTCAAGAGATCAGTTAGTTCCATAGGTCCTCTCAGCAAAGTTTTGGGATTAATTTTAGTTTACTTTTCTCTGCATAATCTGAAAAGATATCAATTCTGTGTGAAATTCTTGGAAAATTACAACTATTCAACCAAGCGGATAGCCGCCACGGAAAACTAACCTCTACTCAACACAATGTATTGTACACTTTTCTGAAGACCGCATCAAAATTTAGAACCCCCATATGTAATCGTGCAAATTACCCTCAAGATTGAACAACATACACAAATACAGGGGAAGAAAAAGCCAATCATAGGGGATCGGCTTGGATGTTGATATCAAATAATTATCCTCAAGATTGAACAACATACACAAATACAGGGGAAGAAAAAGCCAATCATAGGGGATCGGCTTGGATGTTGATATCAAATAATTATTCTCTATTTTTACAGCACTACATTGGAACGACTTTCTCCGATTTTAAACCCTTAAATTATTCTTGTGACTTTTGGTATGTCGAGTGCCATTTGGTCTAATCTGCACAAGTTTAGAAATAGGTGAAAGATTGCATATAATATTGATTACTTTGTTCCTCTTTTTTTCTGTGGCCAAACTTGACTGCAGATATCAACGAGTGTCAAGTTCCGAAAAGGAATAACTGCCCCAAGGATGCCATATCCGTTAACACTGCAGGCAGCTACGTTTGCACCTGTCGTCCAGGCTACTACAAGAAAGACTTTGGTACTTTATCAAATGCATGCATACCACTACCAGACAAAGGGAAACGATCCATGGCCATTTTCATTTCTTTAGGTACATTTTCACATTATTCAATCCCGCTTCTTGTCAGTACTTTTGTTTGATATTCCTCCTCTCAATCATAATTTATTGTACAGGCATTGGAATTGCAACTACTTTTCTTATATTAGTCTTTGCATGTGTTTGGATGCACCGAAAGCTTAAAAAAATAGAAGAAAAAGAAGCGAAAAAGAAACTCTTCAAGAGATTGCTGCAGCAGCAGCTATCATCAGGTAAGGGAAGTGTATTTGAAACGAGGCTTTTTGTCACAAAAGAGCTGGAAAAGGCAACCGACAATTTTAATGAAAGTCGTATTCTGGGCAAAGGAGGGCTTGGAACTGTTTACAAAGGAATGCTGTCAGATGGAACTATTGTAGCTGTGAAGAAATCAAACAAAATTGACCGGGATCAACTGTTGCAGTTTATCAATGAAGTGCTTATTCTCTCACAGATAAATCACAGGCACGTAGTGAAATTGTTAGGTTGTTGTTTGGAAACTGAAGTTCCATTACTTGTTTATGAATTTGTGTCAAATGGAACCCTTTCGCAGCACCTTCATGATGACCCTAATGTTGGAATGATCACTTGGGAGAATCGTTTACGTATTGCAGCTGAAGTTGCTGGAGCTCTTTCTTATTTGCACTCATGTGCTTCAACGGCCATTTTTCACAGGGATATCAAGTCAAGCAACATATTGTTAGATGAGAACTACAGGGCGGTTGTCTCCGATTTCGGGCTGTCACGATCAGTTGCTATTGATAGAACACACTTAACTACACTAGTCGGAGGCACATTTGGTTACTTAGACCCAGAGTACTTCCGTTCCGGGCAACTCAATGATAAAAGTGATGTTTATGCCTTTGGAGTAGTTCTTGCCGAACTTCTAACAGGCCAAAAGGCTGTCTCTTCGGATAAATCTGATGTAGGTTTGGTTATCCGGTTTCGATCATCCATGAAGGAAAATCGATTGTTTGAAATCTTGGACAAGATTGTCGCTGATGAAGGCCTAGAAGAGGAAATTCTTTTTGTTGCTAAGCTTGTCAAAAGATGCCTAAAACTCAATGCAAGGAAAAGGCCAGGCATGAAGGAGATAGCTGCTGAACTTGAACAACTGAGGAAAATAAAGGAAGGGTCAATAGATAAACAAAATTTTCAGGATGGTTATTGCTCAATAAGCGAAAGATCTGATTTTTGCAATTTGATTTAATTACTGAAGATACTGATGAGTAGTTTTTGATCCACAATTTGCATGTATGACTTCACTCATATATATGTTCAACCTTGTCGCATTTGATAGCACTGGAAAGCCAACTTTCACATTGAAAATGCAGTGGTTAAATGTAGTGCTAATTGTCCTTGCACACATGTTTAAAAAATAAATAGAGCTGACATTGCCGATATCAAAATGCAACGGGTAAAAGTATGATTAAAGCAAAATATAAAGGATCCATATTGATAACAGTTAGTATATAACGTTTAAGAAATTAACAAGAAATCATTGTTTATCGGGCCAATACGGAGTAACCCTACAATAATATGATTTGTTTCCTTCATCTATTCTCAAAAAGTTAAAAAATCATTAAAAGAGGTCTCACAAGAGGCCTCAAAACTCAGACGCCCGCCGTCTCCACCTCTCCTCTCCGTGAAAATCTCTATTCTCAATTGTTCTTCTCTTTTTCTCCCAAAGGCACGTTTTGTTCTTTGCTTTCTCTCACAAAGGGACATACAGAATTTACCAGTAAATGAAAAGAAGAGAACTCCAAAAGCATTGCATTCAAAAAACATGAACTCGACAGAACAATACCAAATACATATTTCATGTTTCTGTTTCCCTTTTTGATTGAAACATGGAAGAAAAATAGGCAAATAAGCTTGAAGATACTTCCTTTACATTGATAGCAAGGTGGGAAGAATTTCCTTCCGCAAGTGCAGGCTACAATTGGAGGCCATCTGCAGTATGTGATTGAAATTACTAACAGGTGGAGTAGCCCCAAAAAGGAAAAAAAAAAAGAAAAAAAAGAAGAAGAAGACCTCATTGGTGATTGAATTCGTATCATTGGGTAGAAAAGGCATAAGCACATAGAGTTTATGCCAGAAAAAAAAATACCATATTTCAGCATAGGAGGGAAATGGAAACTTTAGGTTTTTTATTTTTATTTGTTGTTTTCACTCAATTATTTATTACATAAACTGAACCAAAGCAAACTTTTCTGTTTTTTTTTTTTATATTGGAGGTACTTTAAATATAATAAGGAGAGACATAGCATCCTTGAAGATAGACAGAGAGTGGAATGATTGATCTTCTTCTGCGGTTATAGCAATTTCGTAGCTATAGAACCTTTCGCTAACTAAATAACCATTATCTTCATGAACATTATTTTTATCTTTTGGATTCTTTCTGGCCATCAAAAGTTTGTCAAGTCTTGCGGATACTTCTTTCATGCCCGACCTATTCCGTGCATTCAGACTCAATACATTTCTTGGCAAGATTAGCCACGGTAGTAATCTCCTCTTGCTCACCTTGGCTTGCAGCTCTTCCCACTAGAATGTTGAACAATCGATCTTTATTCATCGCTGAATGAAAGTGAATAACCAAGCCTTCATTTTTTTTACCGGAAGAGACTGCTTTTTGGCCTGTTAACAATTCAGCCAGAGCCACTCCAAAAGGCATAGACATCGCTTCTATCATTAAGTTGTCCGGTCATAAAGTACTCCGGATCTAAGTAACCAAATGTGCCACCTAATAATGTAGTCAAGTGACTCTTGTCTATAGATACTTGATAAGAGTGGATTGTAGTATAATTAGGTGGGTATATGGTTAGAAAATTACATATTTTGTACTTAAAATGGTCGGGAAACTGCCTAATTTGGATTTATTTTGATTTTTGCAGGAAAGAGGTTTGATCAAGAAGAAAATGCAGCAAAAAGAGGAACCACCCTTCATAGCTTTATCTTGAGAAATCAAGATAGAACATGGGTGAATCAAGGAGTGTCCAAGGAGAAAATTGGAGCGAGCAATTGAGAAGTTTTCTTACTTTTATTCTTATCATTGTATTAACTCTTTAAATTCATGATTTTAATTTTCCAAACATGTTGAACTAAACTACTTCTAGGGTTAGGGTTTTTATGATGGAATTTTGATTAGTTTTTCCAGTTTAACTTCTTGACTTTTGCTATCATTTGTCTATCTTGATTTTAATTACGTATTTATGCCTGATCAACATGAACATGGTCCTAGGGTTGTGTAGAGCTGAGAGGTGACATGCAACTGCACACTAGATAGATGAACATATTTAGCCTAGTTATAAGAGTAAGTTAAAATTTGTATGACATAATTATATCATCTAAGTTCACAAAGGGTTTAATTGAATGCTTGCGATTTCATGAGAGACATGAGATTTAATTAAGCACGCTTTAGATATATCGAGAGATAATCTAAAATATCATTGTGTGAGGTGTTCATGGCCAATCAAGAAAATAACTGGTTAAATTGACTCAAATTCTGGATTAGTACTTATCTTGAAAGCCCAAAATCTGAAATAACAGCCCTAAAGGTCTCATCCAACAATATGTTGCTCGACTTTATATCTCTGTGATAAATAGCTATTGAAGCATGGGAGTGCATATAAGCCAGTGTTTCTACAGACTCTGCTGCAATATGTAAGTGATCTTCCAAGAAACCGTCGAGACATTTTGCTCATCCTATAGGTGGTTTGAGAGGGTGCCATTTGACACATATTCATAAACAAGCATTGAAACTTCGGTTTGCAGATGGCAGCCTAACAATTTTACTATATGCCCGTGCTTTATATGTGAGAGTATGGAAACTTTGTTAAAAAACTGACTAATGTCATTCTCATCACTCTTGTTTGCCTTTTTCACTGCCACTGATAAGTGACTATTTTGTATAATATTTAGATGATATTTTATATTACTTTTAATTACTTTTCAATATTATAAGAAGAAAATGTTCCATTTTGGCTAGAATTGGTTCTAAATGTTACTTAGTGCTTAAATAAGAGTTTTGCCCTCTTTACTCGCATGTTTTGATTGTTTTTTTTTTTTTATAGGAGTTGGAAACTAATGTGATCGTTGGACAAGAAAGAAATTTACAATATGTTGATTGAAGTCCTTAAGTTTGTAAAATTGACGAGTTTTGACAGGGTGTCAAACTTGTGCAATAATAAATACCTGCTTAAATAAAATATAATTTCTGTAGATAGTGATAAGCAGGGTCGAATCAACAAGGACTGGGGATAATTCGTTTCTTCTAGAGTTCAAAGTATAGGGGGTTTTGAGATTAAATGCCAATTAAACAAATTAAATGCAGGAAGTAATTAATTCAAAGAAATAATTAAGAGAAGCTCTAGCCAAGGGTACACTTCAGAAATGGTTCATGCACTGATCATTGATGCAGAAATAATTCCAACATTTAGTAATAGATTAGTTATAGTTGTCATGCACGCGATAAACAACCAACCCTTCCTTAATTTCTCGATAGCTAAGGTACGACCGTTAGCTATTTCTTTAACCCAAAAATAACCCTAAGTACGACCGTAGGATTTAATTTCTAGATTGCATTAATAATTAGAAAGGCCCAATCCTAACCAACAAACACGCTACGAGGGTTTGTTTAAGCTAGATCATATGCTCCCCTGACGTAAACCCAATTACGCCAGTTGCTACTGAGGTAGAGATAACGAACAATTACGGATTCAATTACCCCTATTTAGCAAAAATAGCCTATATGAATAATTAATTATTGTGCACTAATCAATCATACACAAGGCCATAGCAATTAAAATCAAGAAACATATAAATACCAATAAATGAAGAAAATAATTAAAACAGATTCGATCTCACAGTAATTATCGAACCAAATCGTCAATTGTCCCCTTGACTAGAAAAATAAGAATTCAGTTCTTCATTGTTGAGGAAATTCCCAACATGATACTGTCGAAAGTAAAAAAACTCAGTCCTGCGGCTATTCAGCCTCTAATTCCATCCATCCCCCGTGACTAGTCTTCTAACCTAATAAGAAGAGAAAAGAATCCAAAAGATGGGACCCTCCGAATTCCTTCTTGTTTCCTATTGATAGTAGGACTTCCTAGCCTCTGTACGTTTCTTCCTAAATAATAGACTAATCCTTTCTTTTCTCCGTGGTCCCCGCACAATTGAGAGCAAAAGTCATCCCAAAGCTTCCTGCACCAACCGAGGCTTTCCTTCTTTGTTTTGTTTCCTATTACTTGTAGGACTCCAATCTCCTAATCAGCAAAGGAAATGCAATCTCTTTGTAGCACCATGTGAGCCCGGTTGTTTGAAATCTCAATTATCTCCAAAAAGTCCCTCATTTTTGTAGTTTTCTGCTCCATTCCCTGAAATTGAGTCCAATACCAAATATAAGTAAATATTAACAATTAAAACAATATTTGGCGAGGATTAAGGGGGAAATTAATAATAAAATAACCAACAATTAACACCCTATCAATTCCCTCCACACCTAAATCATGCTTGCCCTCAAGTATGGGGACGACAAATAACACCAATATTTAAAAATGGGCATTGCTCCAACTGCCGTATTGCCAAGGTACCAAGAAAAACATATATCAAGCATCACAGGTCAAGATCAAAGACAAATCACCCCAGTTAGCTTCCTAACCACCAACTCCTCCAATTTAAGGCAAACTGATCTAAGAAAAAGGAATGGTTGCTCACATTTATCAACAAATGGTCCAACTATTAACTAAAATCTCGACATTAAGATCACAAACCGGCAAGCTGACTTATTCACATACTAACACAATCTTTACTTTACTTTTTTTTTCTTTTTTTTTCTTTCTTTTTTTTTTAATTAACAAAAGACTCAGTCTATAGCCCTTAGAGCCTTTTGACACGAACTCCAACATTTGCCAGATGGAGGAGCCCGGTTACTCAGCTCCAATCGCTACGGGACCACATACTCATAGCAACTACTACCTTTTGATGCGAAAATCAACACTTTAGGTGAAGATCCCCGGTTACTCAGTAGTAACCACTAGCGGAGTACAGTCAACTCTTATTTACAACCATATAGCACAATAACTAAAAATGACACAAAATAACAGCAGCCAGCCTCAAATTTCCAAATATGGAGAACTAAAATTAATAACTGGACCAATTTACATGAAGAATGCCAACAATCATTCCCTATGCCTAGAAAAGTTAACC